TGGTTTCCACTTTTTATCCTCATTCCAAACATGAGGGGTATCATAGTGAGAGCTTGTTCCCATTTCCATTCAGAATCGTACTGTAGATTGGTTTCCACTTTTTATCCTCATTCCAAACATGAGGGGTATTATAGTCTTATGCCCACTCCACCTTTTTATCCTCATTCCAAACATGAGGGGTATTATAGTCTTATGCCCACTCCTCCTTTTTATCCTCATTCCAAACATGAGGGGTATTATAGTCGTCACACCTTGTCCAAAACCCCTTGCCGCATTATAGTAGCACCAGACCAAAACAGGAGTATTATAGTCATTACGTCTTGTTACTCAACCCAAAATTTTCCTTTTCATTTTGTTTTTTTCGTTTTCTTTTCATCAAAATACATTTTTTTAAACCAAACAGGTGTGATATTTTTTGCGTGGTTCATCCCAAAAAGCGGTTCGTTTTAATTTTATTTTTTATTTTAATTTTAACTTTCTCAAATTTCATATATGACCTCGGATTTTTCAAATAATGTAACCTCCATATTTTTTCAAAAATGCAAGGCATATTGAAATATAAAAGCTACTTTGTATATATTAAAAGTAACAACTATGTGTTCGCAGTATATTTATCGTTAGTCTAAATTCCTTTTTTAGACATCCTGATATTGTCTAATTCCTTCCTTCACGAATCTGCATTCATGGAAGGTGGGCAATAGCAGCATGAGTTGAAGAAACAGCATGCTCATTTGAAAACACGGAGAGACTGAATTCACAATTGGAAGCTTCCCATTGCTCATAATTTACAAAACTCAAATATAGTCCGAAGAACACAAGTACTCTAAGATCTTATTATTTTAACCTCAAAATCCTTACCGATCTTAAGGTTATTTTAACCTCAATAACCTCAAGGTTATTTTCAATGCGGTGGGGGATGACCTTTTCATTCCTTTAAGTACTGCGCCAATCCTGCCATTTCCTTCTTTGCTTGCTTCGGCTTCCTTCAGAGTTCAGAAAGCACAAGTAATCTATATAATGAAAGCGTATACAATAATTACCATAACGCTCCTGTCTAATCAAAGAAAAGAGGAGATGGATGGGAGAAAAACTTACTAATGATTTAATAAATAATTTCTTCAACAGTATCCTTTGAGAAGCACTCATCAATTGTCGACTGCCTGAAAATCTCAAAATGTAACTGGCATGAGTACGATGCACTGTGCTGGCACTAACACCAAAATCAAATAAGAGAAAGTTACACATTATCAATTGAAATAACTATTACTTGTTTTGTTTAAGATGCTGTCTTCGTCAAGCTTAACTTCTAAAGAAAATTCTTCACTTACTGATCTTACAGCATTCTCATCACCAGAATTTAAGCTAATCACGCGCTTCCTAACCCAGCAGGTTTCTGATACAAAGAGATTATGGCAGTCATCAACTTATAGTTAAACCAATTTCATGACAAACTAATAATATAGACATAGATAAACATTCTACGGTCAGGAACTTTGATAAAGCCTAATTTTTATACTTTTTATCTCACATTAAGTTAAGATTTAAATAATAATTTTGGGCTTAAATGAACGTTTTACGTATTATTGGATTAATTGATTGATTTTACGATTTTGCTTAAAAAAAAAAAGAGATTTTGGATTGAAAATATGAATATTTCATGATTTTCTATTTTTCGCTTGGAATTGATATTGCCTATTTCTTTAAAAATAAGTCTCATATTTTTAGAAAGACTAATTTTTGAAAAGTTTTGCAATTTCTTACCTTATTTTTGTGCATACCTAACATTTAATTTTGATATAGATTATATTGTATTTGGATATAATCTATATTAATGGATACACTTAAATTCTTGTAGGTCAAAAAAGAATATACAGGAAATCCAATGGTGCAAGATTATTTTTTGTAATTCAAGCACAATCTAATAACTAATATTAAGTGGGTTAATTAATTATTAATGGGTCTGAGTTTTAGATAAATTTTTTTTCCCTCTCATTAAAATATTCCCCTCATTCTATAATCAGTATTCACGCTCTGCCTCGTATTCCCTTCGTTCCATATTCACCAAACAACATCCTCTCTGACCATGAAAAAAGGCCCATTAGTCATCATCACCAGTTCCTCCGTTCCACGGTGCCCACAGATTCATCATTCCTTTTTTCATTTTTCATTGACCGTGACTTTCATGGCACTTGGAGAGAGATTGTTTTGATGGAAGCTTGAGCTAAGTGGAAGACAGTTTTAGAAAAATATGAGGAGGCTTGAGCCTTAGGCTAACATTTAAAAACCACAAAGAGGTAATATTCTATTTATCTTTTTAATTTAAAGACTTAAAATTATTTAGTTTTAAATAATTTTGAATTGTATTTTTGTGAGACTATTTAGTTTTATATTGTCATTTTTATCTTTGAATTGAATTGATATTTGGATTATATTTGTATTGAGATACTTGCAAAAATTTATGTTTATGAACTTTTACATTATTAATTGAATTTATAATTAAGTTTTTATTATGAATTTAATTATCAATGTGGTTTAAATTGTAAATTTGAGTTTTTTTGCCTCTTGATTGTTTAATTGAGTTGGTAAATTATCTAATTGTTTAATTGGATAATTCTAAGCATAGTTTTCAGAATTAATTTGAGTTATTTGTCATTGATTTTAATAAGTTTAATTAACTAATCTTATACCGTTATGAGTTCTCTAATAATCTAAGAGTTTTTGAAATTGAGAGTTCTCTTTGTTTCAATTAGGATAATTAAACTTATTAATTCTACTCTCTTGTCACTTTCCTTTGATCTAATTAATGATTTGGGCTATGAAAGTTAATTTCATACGAGTCCTAAATTGTTCCCTCTATTGTACTTAAAGAGAAATCTCTCACTTTTACTTGTTAATTTTCTTTGTTCTCTAGTTAGTTTTCTTTACTTATCATTTTAATTTTTCCTTCTAAAAAAAACCCTCAAAAATTACATTTGCATTTATTTAGTTTAATTTAATTTTCATATAGATTTTAGGACATTTGCATCTTGTATTTAGAATTAGAATTTTGTATTTTAGTTTAAGTCCATTTTAATGTATTGTTTATCACTTAGGTTTTTATCTAGAGAAACTCAAAACTTGCTCCTTGAAAGTAATAACTTAGATTGATGCTAAACTATAAATTCTTTGAGACATAATTTAATTGAGTGTTTTAGACATTAAACTTCTATCAAGAGAAGAGAAAGAGATCAATGCTCCCTAACCCATGTGTGAAATAGAACATTTTAAATTATTCAGGAGTTGAAATATTGGAGAAGCGAATCAATTTTAATACTTATACGATAATAAATATCTCATCGTTGTATCAATGGGGGTTGACCCAAGTAGTAAGCGGCTTGGTACCGCTTAAGCGAGGTCTCGGATTCGAGCCTCAGAATATGCAGAAATCCCTGCTGGGAGACTCACCCACCACAGCCAGGTGTACGACCCAGGTCGAATCCAGATGTAGTCGGAGCAAAGCTCCGGTGAACTGGGTGGGCAACCTAAAAAAAAAATATCTCATCGTTGTAGTGAGATATATATTTTTTAAATACAATATAATCTCAACAGTTTTAATGTAAAACTTTCAACTAATAGTGATTTGTAAGTAAAATTATTTTTTTAAAAAATCTGGCAACTAATAGATTATTTTATTTTAGATTTTGTATTCATTAAAATGATTTTTTTAAGAGAAAATAAAAGTGAAAAAACAAAATTTAATATAAAGCGTCCAGGCCAAATCTAAATAGTGCGCTGTTCTGATAACCTCCTAATGCTCACCATTTCGTTTGGCATTGAAACTTATTTCATTGGGGAAGGTAGAGAGAACATAACATAGAAAACAATTCTATCTTAATAAATTAGTATAACATTTTAAGAATTAACGAAAGTATGAATTACTGTGTAAGAATAACAACTATTAATGCTATTAATCTTTTCTTTTGTATTAAATCCCCCGGTATGTAAAAATTACATTAGACACTGATTAATCTGATGACTGTACGGTCAAATGCTACAAAATTGATGGAGGATAATTCCGCGCTAAGGCTAATTCATCAATTTTCTCTCAAATAAGATTTGATTTGGGAGCATTTTTGATTTGGCCTGCCAATCACATGGTGGGGCCGCACAACTTGCGCAATTCGTCAATACAAAGAAGCTCACATTTTTCTGGGACATCGAGAAGACTTAAGAGTTTTATTATGTTGACATGCTTTAAATTTTCCTTTCCCACCACTATTCCACCTTCAACTGCAAACGCAAATTTAATGACGGTATCATTTTTGCTCTGGGTATTTTTACACTTCAAAGAAGCTTATGATAGTAGTTACATTTTGGATAAAAATTTATAAATATTGTGGCACGTTCACCCTTTCTTTAGTTAGATATAGTTAAAATTAATTTCAAACCCAAGCCCTTGTGTTTATTGCATTTGTATGCATTTAGCTAATTAGGATTCAATAAAAGCTCCTCAAATAAAACGAACCGAAGATGCATAAGTATAATGCATTTCTTGATAAAGTTTTGATTTTTCCCGCCAAGGTGTGTAAGGACTCGGTCACAATAACTAAGCAAAAATATCTAAAAAATCTTTAAAAAATTACTTTTCCTTCTTATGTACTTCATCATTTCATCCAAGAAATACTGTTTGACAACCATCCAAGAGGCGCGCATCAAATAAATAAACTGTTACAAATAATTTAAAATGGTTTACGACTGTACATGCAAGGACTCCAAAACTGAAGGAAGGAAATTCCACTTTTGCTTGTGCGCATGCTACTCATTTGTGTCCTCTGTTAGAAACTAGCACAAATAAAGGGATGCGGCACTATCCCCCCTCGATAAGGTAAAACAGCCTCTTCAAACTCGGGCTTCAAACTGCGTTTCTCCAATGTACATAGCTACCAGTGTTGTCTGCTGAAGTTTGTAGAGTTATCTAATTGCTCTGATGAAGCTACCCTTAAAAGCATGAGGACAGCAAGAACAGAATGCTACGAATAATTTAAAATGATTTGGCAGTCAAATACTACAAAATTGATGGTAGGTAATTCCACGCTGAGACGCAAGGGTAATTCCTCATTTGCCTCTCTTTTGCTAGAAACTGTCCTATAAATAGAGGGATGCGGCAAATACAATGTCCCTCTTGATTTTTGAAACAGCTTTTTCAAGCTTAGCCTCAAGCTGCGTTTCTCCAATGGATTTGGCTGCTCGTATTAGCTGCTGAAAAAGTTCCTCAAGTCTTCTACTTGCCCTAATCAAGCTACCCTCAAAAACCTGAGTAATTTCCATGATATCATAGAATTTCGATCCTTTTGCCCATGCATTAACAGCCTCCATAATGTCAAGCCTCAATGAACTCACGAAACCCTCCACATCAATTTGAACCTGATTTAGTTTGTGTTTCGGTACAAAAATATGCATAATCACAGTTAGTTATGAACAAATAATCTAATGCCAGGGAAGCAGCGGATTCAGTCATTACCTTGCACTCAAGCTGCAGTTGTGCAACCCTCCTAGCAATTTCTTGCAACTGAGCAAAGAGCAGGCCAACTTCTTCGCGGGGCTTAGCAGCATCATGGACTTTCTCCTGCCATACAAAACAAGAGAGCAGAGAAACCATTTCCTCCACCTTTATATCCTTTAAGACCCCATTAAACATGAGTTCGGTCAGGGTCAGCTCATCAGCGCTGCTAATTTCACCAGCAACTTTCCCTTTTAGTTCAACAACATTCTCACTTGTAACATATCCTTAAATTAAAATTGAAGATCATTGCAAACACCCAATCAAACAGCAGACTTGCCAAAACATCAATACCACAATTAAGATATTACACTACAATGATGAAAGTATTGAAGCAATCAACAAGTTTCATTACCCTAGCCTCCGAAGAACTCTCTTTCTTGCCTTAAGTTCATCCTTAAAAGCCAAAGCAGTAGAATTTCTTAATGTTCTCTTAATTGACTTTATCTTTGCAGCCGATTCTCGCTTCTTATGAAAAGCTCTTAGCTTTTGCTTCAAACATGGAGATTTCACGATTTCATGCTTCTCAAACAGCTACTCCAAAGCCTCTAATCTCCGGGATGCCTTTTTGTATGAGTTGTTGTGAATCTAAAAGGAAAAGAAGTCAGAACTTAGAACTACAATAATTTTGTTGGAATTAAAACCAAAAGGATGAAGAGAAGATATAATAAACAGATGAGAAACAACCTTCATGTCTTCTTCACTATCTAGAAGGGGCAACCCTTTATCAGCAAATCTAGAGAGAGTTTCTGATGCTTTCTTCATCATGTTTTCCCTAGCTTCCAATGACAGAAGATCCTTTGGAATATATAGGCGCAGACTGCTTATTGTGTTGATCTATTCAGAACAAAAGGCAGAAAACAGTTTACCAAACGTCATAACAATAAAGGATACCGATATTTCACAGCCATGGCACCTAAAGGTCAAATTGTATATATTGTGTTGAATTATTGCATTGAATTGTCCATACTATGTTGTACTACAGAAACTTGCGCATTGGTGTGCTCTAAGAAAATTAGATTTTCTCCCATCAGATTATGATTTTTTCCCTTTTCCTCCTCAATGGTACTACAGAATCATCTCCTTATATGGTTGATGCAATTCCAGCTGCTCTTACAGCTAGGGCCAGAGAAGGGCCACTATGACCCAGTAACAGGCCCCGAAGTATCGCCCTAACAAGTTGTGTTGGGCAAGCTGTGTGAGAGAAAAAGGACTTGGGAAATTTGTCGGCGACAACAATGTACGCTTTCATTTTCTTGGCCTACTTTTTATTTGCGTGTGTTTGAGTGTATCTCATTACATTATGTTTCCCGTGAAGCCTCTCTCTCTCTCTCTGTGTTTTCTCTTGGTAGTTTCAATGGCTAAGACTGTCAAACTCGTGATGGAATCAAAAACTTTGATCGCGTTGAAAACTCGTAAAAGTTTACTCATATTAATATATAGTTATTAAAATATAAAATTAAATAATTAAAATAAATAAAAAATGACAACAAGTTGATTTTAATATATTTGTATGGCTGCATTAAAATTTTATACTTCTTTGTTAACACTTGAATTTTTGCATTGCCAAGCAGCATGGCTTTTTTAAACTTTCCCCCAATTTCATGCCACATAGGCGAGGTGGACTACGATTCTAATGCACCGTCCCTCTTTGAGATGTATTTTATGAGTGCACTTCCCAAGAGAGATAGCATAGGTACAAACTTGTAAATGGAGAAAGATGAGTTGCTGTCACCCTTCCTGTGTCTGAGATTGTCTCATACAGAAGATACTTGTGCTTAGAGGGAAAAAAAAAAAAGTGTTATGTTAGGAAGCTTAGCAAAAGGGATTAGGGGATTGATGGAATAGAGAAGGGAGGGAACAGAGGAGCCATAGAAGAAAGCCAAGAAAAGAATGGAGGTTCAGTTGGAGGTAGCGATAGTGACGGCTTCTTTACATTTCCCGGCAGCATTTTCTCTCTTTTAAATGTAATTTCTTTGTGCCTAATGTATATTCAGATTTGAATATTATTGGTGTTCTTTTTTTTGAGGATTGGTGCTGAAAATTCATATTTATGGAGTCATAACTTGAATTAGTGTACTTGGGAAATTTCAGATTTTATACCTCTGCTGTGCAAAATTATATTTCTAAGATTTAAAATATTTATTTTGCTATTCTTGTTGAAATATTGAATTGTCACAAGTTTTTATTTGGTTAACTAGAAATTTGATTGGGGAATTAGTATTTGTTCAAATTTCAGGATTAAAAGAGAGGAAAATCAGCCAGTAATCTCAACCCAAAATCTTCATTTTGAATGTTGAACTTTCACTCCATGCTTAGTGTCTAAACTTAAGAGCTAACCATAATAAAAAGTGAGAAGAACACGTTACTGAATATTGAATAGAAAAGGAGATGTTATCAGGAAAAAAAAAAATCATCAATATCAGTAGGATATTTTGAAACCACATCCAAACGTGACAGGTGGCATTACTGCAGAAACAACTAGTCATTAATATAAATTAGTATATTATTCAATACTCCATACTACTTGATGTGCAAATTAAGCATTCTATACATTTTCATGCCTATTAAAAAAGATCACAAATTCTGTGGAAATTCCAGGGTGAAAAACCCCATATTACTATGTGACGCTGCTTTATCTTATATAATGGCGTCCCCTCACAGAAGCTACTTGCTGTGACTTGAATTATTTAAGTGTTTAATTAAACAGTAAGCTGCTTGGCCTCAATGGCCTTCTACCTCACGCCATGTCTTCCATTTCTTCAATATATATTTATTTTTCAATGCATCAACATCAACTTCAGCACCTAATCTGTTAATGATCTTTAAACCCATCTTCTCTATAACATGATTATTTATACACGTCTCCTTGGACTTCTCTGTAAGGCTGGGGCTAATACCAAAAGGAGCCAGCTAGCTGCATATAACATTGCAATCATCATCGTCGTCGTCGTCGTCTTCATGGGAAGGAAACTAAGTGAAGCATCACTGAAAATATCTAAGAACCAAAAACAACAATTCAGCAGCATGATCAAAGCTTTGAGGCCAAAGGTCTACCTCACACACAGCTCCGGATTCAAGAAGCTTGTTCAAGAGCTAACTGGAAATCTTACTGCAAGCTCAACAACTATGTCATCTTCATCTTCAACTGGAAATCGCATTATTCCAGCAGATGATGTTCAGATTACAGACAACCTTGAAACCAGTTTTGATTCTTCTGAGGTTTCAGCGTTATCTTCTTCTACTACAACAACCTCTTGCTCATCGTCTGAGTTCTGCTGCTACAACAAGTCATGCTTGGATGACACAACCTTAGGATGCTCCGAGGCAAACCAATGTATGGATCGTCTATTGGCATATCAGAATTTGGAATCAATGCTTTTTGATGCAGAGGTTGAACAAGGCTTCCTGTATGATTGCTATGCACAGCCAGAAGAAGAGGTCTGCACAAATGAGTGTGAGTTGTGGGGACTGCTGTGAAAGTGTCTTTTTATGGCAGATCAACCAAAATGCTTCAGTGATGAATTTTTCTTTGTTGGTCTGCTTTTAATGTCTGTACATTGTATAGTTGTTCTATAGAAAAATGAAATTAATCCTAAAGTGTACACTTTTGTATAAATCCTGTTGTTCCCCTTCATTCCTATTGCTTCCTTTCATGGGTATCATGTAACAAGTGTAGATATAATTTAGCAATTATGTGACACTTCAAGGATCAATATGACCTTCAAAATCTCTAATATAAGGAGCTCATATAAAATGAGTTATAATTATAGTTAAATTTGTATGAAGAAATCCATGCAATGTAATCTCAAACACAAGCCCGGGTTCGTCTTCATAAACACAATCAAGAATGCTAAAATGTCAGATTCAACACCAAGAAAATGCAGAAGACAAAAATTTGTACCTTCATGTTGTTCTCTTTGCTGCTAGAATGACTGCCTGTAACTTCCACTTTTTCTGGGTATGAGCTCACAGCAGGAAGAAGCATTGCAGAAGCTAGACCTAGAATGAAGAACAAAAGAATGAACTTTTGCAGAAACCCCATTTCTTCTTTCTTTGTCAAACCCAAAGCATTCTCTTAAGTGTATTATTTTCTCATGAGAATTCTAGCCTACTATATAGATATATAGAAATATATATATTTGAACATGAAAGTTGATGGTGAGTACTTAGTGAAGAAAAAGAAATGAGGGGACATGAAATGGGATTTGAAACTTGTGCGGTTCAACTTTTGATAAGCTTTTTGAGATTATGGAGGAGAAGGTGGACTTTCGGAGCAAAAGTGTGTCAGATTTCAATGGAGAGTGAAACATTTGTAGAGAATTGCAAAGTGGGTCTTTCTTCCCGTTAGATTTTTGGTACTAATAAACGCTATCTTCTGCTCGCCACTACACCCTTTTTCTATTCGAAAGTGGTCAATGAAATCAGATTTTTGGACAGAAACAATGACCTCTTTGTTCAGTTCGACTCATTCCTTTTCCTTTTCCTTTTGGTTGGCATTTTATAGAGTTAAACAAGTGAACTTACAATGTGTTCCTGATCATAATTGGAATTTGACTTCATTAATTTTCTGCTTGATGCCCAGATCTTCAAAATAATGTTCTGCTAATAATGTCATAGCTTATTATTATTACTAGTACTTTTTTCTGTCCTACGTGCATCAGTATGGCAGATCATAGAAATGATTATTGTTTTTGGGGAAATGGCAGACAGCCTACGCCTACATTATGATTGTCACTCACAAGATTAACCCACTTGCACTAATATCAACATACATTTTTTTCATGCTGGTCTGTGTGCTCTGCGTTGTTCCATGGTCATGGACAGACAAGAGAGAAATATAAAGACAGAAAAAAGAAAACAAATCAGTTTATCCTTGTTATCAAGTAAGAGAGTTATCAACAAAACCTTAACAACTCTCTCATATTTAGCTTAACTCATATCTAACCTTGAGTAGGTTAAAATAATACTACCTCCAGTCCTATTTATAAGACCTCG